AGATCATAGAAAGCTACAGAAAATTAGTGTCATGAAAGTTAAGAGAGGAACTATAAGATGATAACAGTAGTTCATGAAACCAACTGTGAAATAAGACAAAATAGATCTCAGTCAGTGTTAGAATTGTCACCATGGCCGTCGTTGGCAACGTTAGATACATCAGTGGCAGTAGGAGGAATCTCTGAGAAGTGTTTAAGGTGTGATGAGAAAGTTTGGGACTAGAGCCACTGAGTCAAATCTCTTATTGAGAGACCAGAGCTACGAAAAAGTAAAGATTGGTGCTCCTATAAATATTAACCAGTCTCTGCCATAGAAAACTTAACCTGGCTATATCATCCGCTAAACATAAAGTCAATACACCAGTTTACATTTCAAAATATATTTGTACAATTGGTAAAATCCTGGTGTTGTGTGTGTGTGTGTGTGTGTGTGTGTGTGTGTGTGTGTGTGTGCACTCCCTGCTGCTGTTCCATATTTCAGTGCTCAACTCACATTTTACAGTAGGCTTTAACTAGAGTGTGATGTTTAAATGATGATAAAATTTATGTTCAGTAGGTAAATCAACCTCACAATATATATCTAGGCTGATCAGTCAAAATCTCACTGAATTAAACATGGGGGCAACACTTTGGCTATCCTTTATCTGCCAGCAAGCTAGTATCTGTGGGCTTAGGATGTGAAGGACATAGGAATTCAAAGAGGTCTTAGAACCTGGGATGTCACTAATGTATATATACTGTCAATTAAAACCTGCCTTAGTTTATATAAAAATCGGTAAAGTTGTGTCTTTCTTTGAGCTGCCTTCATTTGGGAGATATGCAAGTATGAGTAGCTGTAGGTGGACTGCCAGATGTCAGTGTTGAATTTCTAACAGAGAATCCTATTTTCAACCTTATATGCCAGCAGGAATCTGAGGAGATCATTGGTAAAGTATATTATATTCCATGATTTTAATATGTCCAAATATCTTATTACCTTTTAGGCACAAATTGTGATGCAAGGGCCAAATTTTTCAGTGTAAAGCGTGTTCTATTATGATTCTTTAGTCACCTATTTCCTGTCCAATTTTGGACAAACTTTTATTAATCAGGAAGCTATTCATAATGGGCTCAAGCTGTCAGAGTTGGACAACATATTATGTGGCCTGGAGGAAATGGACTGGGGGACCAATCAGGAATTGTTAATTAGCAGGATGATGAAGCTGGAAGGCTGAGGCCAGGGGAGCCCAAGACAGAGTGAGTATGAAGAGCTAGAGCTGAGGCCAACCTGGAGAGGACGGAAGATCCAGGGAACAGAGACCAAGTGGCAGAGGAAGAGCATCAAAAGCAGGAACTGATGCTGAAGAAAAAATTAAGGGGAGCAAGCAAAGTTTAAATCACCAGTGGCTGGTAAAAGAAAGATAGAATTCTAGAGAGACAGAGTTATTTTTAACTTTATGAATTGATGGCAGTGATTCATATGAATATATTTTGTGATCTTTTATGAAGATATTCATAAAAAGTATTCATATGTATATCTTGGTCATAGGTATATATTATTAGATAATGAGCTTTTAATATCTGTTCACTGTAGTCTTATTTTAAAAAACTAAAAGGCTCTCAGGACAAGTAAACAATTTTAACTTTTCTTTGTAACTCTTTTATATAATTTATTTTGTGATAGAAGGCAAACTTTTTAACTTGTTTCCCTTAAGCGTGTGTGTCTCCTTAACTGCGGGTGTTTATGGTATGTTTTATAGTCAGCTACAGTACTCAAAGCAGTAAAATCAGTGACCATGGTTAGGATTTAATTTCAAACTTTGATGCTGTTAGAATTTTTAAAAAATGATTAGTATATTTAAAGAGTGATGAATTGGCTTCCAGATTTATGACAGATCTTACATAAGTAATCATTTTAAACAAAAATAGCATTTATTTTAAAACATACTCCTTTTAGCGTGTGTGTGATAGTCTGCTATCCACCTCTTCATGTGAAAGCTAAAAGCAAACTATGAATTGTCAGAAAGTGAAAACAATGTAACCTAGAAAAAGTAAAATAAAAAGACACAACAGGCAGCGGAACTAAAAAAGCAGAGAGAAAAAAATTGTAAGTTCTTTTAAGAAAATAATGCTGTAACATGAGACAGCAATCTAACCTGGTGATCAGTTTTCCTAACTCTTAAATGGGAGGATATTGTCAACTACCTCTATCTCAGAGATAAGACAGCACTCTGTAACTGTTTAAAATGTGCTTTTAAAAATAAATCTAATAACTTGTGAAGCTACTTCAGGAGGAAAAGATAAGAATATTTTCATGCATACACATTGAAAACTGCCTTCATTAAATATCACTATGCTCCTCGAAAACAAAGGGCTGGTTGAGGGAAATGTGAAATGTGAAATAATATCTCAAGATTATATTCAGCTCATACTGATGCTGTATCTGTTAATGGATATACAATATGCAAATGATTAATATATTTAAGAACAGAAAGGTGAACGTGAGGATCTTATTTAAAAATCATTTCAAATGTAACTTAGATGAAATCCCATAATTTAAATTCTTAATACATTATAAAATACATTTGATAATGTTGAATGCTGATATTACTAAACAAAAAAAAACTGAATTTATTTTATTGTATTTCATATTATTTTATTTTTGAGACAGTTCTTATATGTAGTTCATGCTGGCCTTGAACTCATTATGAAGCCCAGCTGGGCTCAAATTTGCAGGGATCTTCCTGCCTCAGCCTCCCAAGTGCTGGGATCACAGACTCACAGGCATGTGCTACCATGACTGGCTCCAGATTTCTATTCTAAAATCTATATACATGACTTCTAATATATATATATATATATATATTAGATGGGATTTTCACTTTCTGACAATTCATAGTTTGCTTTTAGCTTTCACTTCTAATATATATATATATATATATATATATATATAGAGAGAGAGAGAGAGAGAGAGAGAGAGAGAGTGAGAGAGAGAGAGATGAGACTTGTTACTTCTTAGATTATTCATAGTTTAATCCTATATATGGATAATAGATTTATTTCTTTCTAAGTCATTTATAAGAAAACATTGATTCTAAAAACATCTGGTATATGTTCGGAAAATAGGACGAACACTGCAATCCATTAGAAACGGCTACTGCTTCCTTTTAATTTTGAATTATTTTATACCAGCTACACATTTTGATAATAAATATTATTTATTGTAGTAAGAATGATATGACTAAGTCACAGTACTGTACTTAAATTCCAGTTTTATCTATTTACTTGGTAAATCAATTTAACAAGTAGCTGAAAATGTCTTTGCTTCAGTAGTCTTATTTGAAAAGAAAGAATACACAGTACTTTCTCACTCACTGAGTTGTTTTGAAGACTAATATAATGTACTAAAGCAAATGCTGCAATAACTACTCAATAATCTTACTTTTCTTAAATTCTGATAACTGTAGTGGATGGTTATAACATAAACTTTAAGATCGTGAAACAGAGTTGTTACTAATTTGCTTCATTGTCCTATCCAAGAGTCATTTGTGAATATATCCAGAAGGACAGTTTCATTGTTTCATTAATCTTAGTTGGTTATTACACATTGTATTTGTGTATAGAATTACACATTATATAGATATACATGTGATTGAATGCATGTGTGGACATGTATACCGTAATTACTATGGAACACTCAAAAATTCAAAATACAAATAGCATCACTTTGCACCATTTACGTACATCTGGCTGTAATTTGTCAGTGTGTGTTTTAAATAATTTAGAAGAAAAAACTTCTGTGCTTTGAAAACCAAATTATTTCTATATATCCACCAATGAATATTTTGACACTGATCATTTTAGTTACTATATATAAACAGCCAAAATTCTACTAGAGTTTGAATGCAGAGAGAATATAAAAATAAGATTGCTGAATGAAAAGAATTATAGTAATAAGTAGATATGTAAGTTAAAAATATTAAAAACATATAGAAACATGTGTTATGAGGATTATAAAAAGCCCTATAAATACAATCAAAATTCTAAAGAAATGATAGCGGTGTTGATTCAATGAAATTAGAGTTTAAATTAGAAAGCGTAAATGATATTTTCACAGGCAGCAGGCACACATTCCCGAGAAAGATGTGTTAGAAGCTCAGGTGTGAATGAGAAAGGGGCAAGTGTGGGGAATCATGATGAACTGTAACTTTCTTTCCTCTGTGATCAGTAATGAGCATGAATCTTGTGATTCTTTTTGGAACTCAGAAGTAAATGGCCAGCCTTATCATTAAAAGTTTTCATGGAACCACTGAATCTTTGTCACCACATTCAAAATTTCTGACATTAGCTGTGTGACTGAATGGAGATTATATTCCCTTTGCTTTGAAGTATATTCATCTGAGTCAGCAATTGACTTGTATATTCTTTGCCTCAATATAAGAGTTTGATAGTACATGGTTTATCTTCTGGCCTCAAATATTATGTGTACTATCATGCTATTAACTTGGAAGTTCTTTATTTCCAAGAGTACCACAGTTACTTAGCTATGGAACTGGAAATCTTTAGATAATAATAATGATTTGATAGACTTAATACTTTCTGTGTCTGTGAGGAAACATATAAATAAGCAGTACTACAGTATAACATTAGAAAAATTTTCACTGGTATTTCTTGTACAACACAGAAACAAAGGCAGATTTCAAGATCTTATACATAAAATTTAAGCTGTGTTTTAATAATGTAAATTGTCATTTAGGAAAATAAAATGGCTTGTGGTTAGCCAACAATTTGAGGCCATACACCAAAAAGTTTTATATCTGAGAAATAATTTAGGGTCAGGGAACAAATATAGATTACCATATCATGGTACTATTTCTTAGAATTAATTTGTCAACTTAACCTATAAAATTCCAATATTTACTGCTGTGTTTTTCATCTTATCAGATGACTTAGACCTGGCATAAGATATCTGTCATAAAATGTAAATTTAAAATTGTCTTTCATTTTTTTTTTTTCTTTCAGGGAAATCTTGAGGAGTTTGACACTTTTCATCCTCCGGCCATTAATCATCTTGTGAGAGTTGGCTGTGTATTGGTGAGTCTCATTCATTCTAAATTCTCAAGTTTTTAGTACAGTCTGTGATATTGGTGCAATGCAAAGCAAGAATTACAGAACTGTCAATGTTACTGTCTAGCTAATTACAAATTTTTTATGTTTGGTACAGATATTAAACCCATGGCCTTCACCTGCAGATTCATCCACAGCCCTTTTTACTCTTAATTTGAGACAGAGTCTTAGTAAGTAACTAAGACTTAGGCTTAGCTTAAATTTATTTTATTTTTATTTTAAAGAAAATGAAACCAAGCAAAATAAAACAGAATAAAAGCAATCAAAACAAAGAAGTGTAAGTGGCATAGGACAATAACAATATGAAATAAACAGTGGTACCATATGCCTCTTGTTGTCTTTAAAAAGCTTCAGGTACATTCATACATAGTAAAAATCAAACAGAACAGAACAAAATAGAACCAGTAAAAACAAAACAATGAATGCAATAAAGGACTTCAGAACAAAATAAGAGTAAATCCATCATATATCTCATTTTATTGGAAATAGCTGCCAGTGCCATTGGATATAATAAAATCAAACAAGACAAAACAGAATAAAACTCAACCCAATAAAACAATGAAAATAATACAGTACTTCAAATCAAGACAATAGAGAATAAACAATGGCTACCGACTTCAGAAGGAGATCCCCCTAGATGCCACATTGCATACTGTTATCTTCTGAATAGATGATTAGACTACCAGTTTTTACCTGCAGTTCAGTGAAACACTAAACACTACAAACATAAAATTGTTTTTTGTTTTTTTTTTTTTTACCTCAACGGCTATCATCACAGCCTGTGTTTATCCAGACTAGCCAATAGCTTACAGGGGTGCAGTGGGGATGGTGTTGGTTCTTGTTTCCCAGCCCACAAAAAGGGGCTGGCATCTGGCTTTTCCCCTTGTGGCCCACACCTGGCGCCAATTCACATGGAGGGCTTGCTTCTTGGTGACTTCTTGTTCTCTTCCCCCACACTCTGCAAGTGGTACTGACTCATGGGAAAAGGCTGGCATCTGGCTGACCCTCAGCAGCCCCTGCATTGCACTGATTCACAGGAAGGGCTTGCTTCTTGGTGACCTGGGTTTAAATTGATGATCCTATATTCTCCTAACTCAGTCCCACACATTGCTGGAATTACAGGCATGTGTTACCATAAACAGCTCAGAGTGACTTTTTTGGGGGCCGGCGGGTACTGGGGATTGAATTCACTACCTCACACTTGTCATGCAGGCACTTATGCCACTGTGCTAATCCCTGGCCCCACAGTGATTTTTTAATAATAGAAAATCCATAATATAGTTTGCTTTCACTTTAATTATTATAGCAATAGAAATGCTATTAAGCCTGAAGTGATAGAATTAAAAGTATATACTGGAAAGGAAACTAGTAATTATTTAGTTCTAAAGTTGTGCTAGTATTATTTATTGCTATATTTTAGGATACTACATTCATTGAGTTCCTGATTCACGAACAATAATTAAGTGAACATCCCTGAAGTGATCCTAAGCTTAGTAAATTCTATTACTTGTAAAACATAATTACTATTTTGCATGTTGAATTTAAATTTTAATGTTCAACACTTATTGTACTTGAATTTCATGCCATAAACTTAAATATATAATTTTTTCTTGCATGTATTATTTCTGTTTTCTATGTGCAGCATTACTATCATCTGGTGTCATATTTCTCAATGCCTCCTATCCTCATTCACCAGTGCACTCACCTCATACCTCTCTCTCTCTCTTTGATGTACATACACATGCATGCACCTAAACACACATATTAGTATTACTTGCACAGCATCATTCATTTGTACTTTTCAGTTCAATTGCATGTCTGAGGCACTTCTTACCATCAGTTCTGATCATTAGAAACCTTTGAGGAAACATTCCATCAGGTAAAAACCCTAAATATGCACTAAAGTGTACATACATCATTCATTAAATTGCATGAATTTATTTATAGATACAATAGTAAAAATCAAAATGCAATCAACAGAAATTTTAAAGACAAAATGCAAAGGTATGTGTGGAGGTAATATCAGATTCAAAAATCTCAGTTCTATATATCCACACATTTTTCTAATGTGTAGAAATGATATTGAAAATTCAGACCCCTCAAAATTTCACTCAGAGCATTAGACTGAGTTGATACATTGCGTGTTGCAAAGTAGCAATCTGTTTTAAAATTTGCATAAAAATGTGCATGTGGATCATCTTCATGTGGACAAAATTGGGTCAAGAGTTTGAAGAGGCTCAGATCAAAAGTTGGAGGAGTAAGAGATTTCAGAGAGGTTTGTATAGAGAATCATATAACCAAATAATTATGAAAAAATACCTTGTATCAAATGGAGTAGCTCCAAAGACACCTTTAGATTTCCAACTTAGTACCTGTTGATTCATCCTATGTATCATTGCTGTGTGGTAGAAACACCTGTTGATTCATCCTATGTATCATTGCTGTGTGGTAGAAACACAATTAGGAATGCATAAGCTTAGTGTGGTTGTTTGGTCACTTGTCTGTTTTCTCATTGGGACCCTCAGGGACAGAAAACCAGATGCTATACTATGAGGAGAAGGTAGGAACATTAAATTATTACAATAAAGTTATGCATATGTGAACTTAAAATGCTACATAAATTGTCCTTACTGGCAAGTGACACATGCCTCTAGTGTCAATACTCTAAGAAGCTGAGATAGGAGGACTGCAAGCCAAACCTAGCTTGGGGAGTTTAGTGACTTATGGGAAGTTGTCAGTCATTCAGTTGATTAATAGATGGCTGGGGATGTACACAATGGTCAAGTTTGATTATGCGAAATTAAATTAACACACACACACACACACACACACACACACACACACACACACACAGGAACCAAGACACAGAATGAGATAGGATGTGAGTATAACAGTCTGATTAGTTTGTCTTCTTATTCAGTAATCCATGTTTAATGTTTAAGGCAAAAATCTTCATGGATCGAAACTTCATGAATTTCTCAACTGAACTGTACTAATGGTTGCATAAACCGTATGTGCTCCCTTCTGTACCAGCCTGATAACTATGTGTTTTCTATATTTAACATTTTTCCCGTGATTCTTCCCCCTCCCAGGTAACTCTTAAAGAAGTTAGCATTCATACAATCACTTGCCAATTTCTTTTCTGTTAGTAACTTTTATGGTTGAACTCTCCTATTCTTGCAGCTTCAAGTTCATGACAGTCAGTGAATATCTCCACCTAAAACCTCACTCTTGAGAAGCTATGAATGTAACTATTTGGTAATATATTTGTTGTTTGACCTCTAATATATTAAAATCAAACATTTTCCCACAAACCATCGTTTAGTTCTTCCCATTCCTACAGTTTGAAGGGTCTTCTATCCAGTTTCCCAAAAAGAAATCTTGAAAGCATCTTTAACTCCTCTCATACTTTCTCACTCTTCATCAGTTTACTCATGGAGCCTTGTCAATCCTATAGTTAGGGAAATGTAATGGGAGTTTAAAATTGGAATACAATCACTCTTTAAGCTATGTTTGAGATGATTCAGTGAAAACATATCCCCCAGTCTAAAGCAAAAAGAAAACAGTTAATTCACTTCCATCTCTGAGGTAATACTGAATTATTTTACCATTTATTTGGTATATTTTTATTGTAAACTTCAATCTCCAACATTTTAAGTTCAGTGTTAGCGAACATATATATGGTCAACCCTCTATAAGCATAAGTCCTGAGAGATTTTTAATAACAGATTGAAAATATTAAGAAACAAACATCCATTTGTTCCATTTGAAAACATACACATTTCTTGTTCCTGTCATTCTCTAAACAATACAGCTAACAGCTATCTACATAGCACCTGTGTTATACTATGTATTATAAGTGATCTAGAAGTGATTTAAAATGAATGTGAGGAAGTGTGTAGGTTAATACAAATACTGTTCAATTTAATACACAGGATGTGAGCATCCGTGGTTTGTGGATGTACAAGAAGTCTTAGAAACAATACAGAGGATATTGCCTGATAAGTGTATATTTATCTTCACAAAGCCATTACACCTTATCCCATAGTCCTGACAATTGTAATGTTCAAACTTTTCCAATAAATGATTTCAGAGAAAATAAAGTTCTGTGTTGTAAGGTCATGATAACTGCTTCCATGTGTAATGATCAAATGCATGTATTCTCTAACCTTCTTACATTTAATAGCTCATTTGGCATACTGTACTTAAATTATTTGATATTTATGTACACAAATTCAGCATGACCACAATATTTGCAATATATGTATGTATACTTCCAAGGTGCTGGGCCATATCTGTGAACTAGAGAACTTTTGTTTTCCTTATGGTTTGGAGAAAGTCAAATTCTATTCCTCTTTTCTTTCAGATTTAATAGTATTTTTTTAATGTCAAATAACTGTTTTGAACATAATATTGAAAATCCCTTTTTATTTATTCAATACACTTTTAAATACTACAAGAGGAAATTTAGATTGCCTTCAGATGTCTGACACAATAAAATTGATCATAGTATATTTCCCTTCTGTTTAATTATAGAAGATTTCTTTCCATCAAGTGAATGTTTTCAGGAATCTGGCTCTTTATTCCTATAGATGGCCACAGTGGCCTGAATTAATAGAAGGAATTACCCTCTTTTATTTATTCTACCAAGGGCAAGTCCCCAGAGAAATGTTTCATTATTGTAGACAATAGATTCCCTGGTTTGCTGGCCGGCTTTAATGGGATGCTAAAATCAATTGAAGCTGTTTCTCTGTCACCTGAGAAGTACTATAGGTTTTGTGGTTGTTGCAATTTTATATCCTCATGTCTTTTTTTTTTTTTTTTTTTTTTTTTTTTTTTTAATTTGTCATCACTAAACCAAGAATCTTCCTTACTTATGGAACCACAGCTTCCTTTTTCTGAGGAAATAGTTCTTGTAAATGTGTACTGTGCCTGGAATTCAAGCCCACCACATGGTTTGCATCAGA